AGGTTGGCATTTTACCTGGCTATTGGATTTGTGTTGCTAGCCGTGATCCTGGAAACTTGATTGTTGGATTTGTGTTTCTATTTAGAAGTGTGGATATTTGAGATTTTATCTGAGATATTTTCAGGCATCTCAGATATTTGAAAAGTGGCTTTAAAATTTCGGGCATCTGTTTTGTGGCATGTGTTCTTTGCTTGGAGGTATTGGCTCTGAGTATTTCATTTATTGCATAACTTACATATAAAATGAAAAAGGTATATGATTTCTTCCTTATTGTTACCTGGTCTATCCTTTTTTCTCTGGTAAATGACTGAAAGCATGGAGGTCCTCTTACCCTCTATAGCAAAGATTTTTCTTGATTATTCAATTTAATTTTTTAAATTCATCATAATTTTTCTTCTTCCTTAGATCTGTATTCTCGATTTTCATTTCCAATCTTTTAGTTTACCGTGTTGAATGTAATCTTCTAATAACAGAAACTTTCTCACAGTCTAATAAACGACCTTGATTTACCTTGATTTATAGTATAGTTCTGATTTATATTTGAATTCAGAACTATAAGGTCACATTCTCAATTAGAAGAACCCGTCTAATTAAACGACCTTGATTTATCGATCAAGTTGTTTGGGATGAAGATTCGTAGTTCTAATTTTTATATGCAGCTGCGAAAATGGCTTATGATACATTTAACCATGGTTTGTTATATTATTTCTACATGGTTGAATAAATCATGTGCTCAAGTACAACACAAAGTTGAAGATTGAGGAATGTTATAAAAAACATTCATGATCATTAGTCAATTATATACCTTCAGATGCAAACTAGTTACAATTGTTTAAACTATGGCAACATGCATGCACTGAATGATTTTAATGAGTTTATTGTTACGAATGAGAATGGTTATAGAATTGGGGAGCTGAAACATATGAGTGAAATGCAATGTTTATGTTGGAAAATTATCTTGGTTGCCATATTTTCTGTTATTTACTTATTCGAATCACATGTTGAATGAAGTGATGATTTAGGACTTCATTCTTGAGCTTTATTATTCTTATTCCTCTCCAAATAAATGCTGAAAGTTATGTACTGTCTTTCTCCATTTGGTGGGCTCGGTTTTGGCCCCTAGAGGACTGGATTTCAGTTGAAAGTTCTATACTGTTTTTGCCCTTTTCCTGGGCTCGGTTTGGCCTGAGATTTATTACATGTCGTATTACAAAGTAAGTATTATTAGTTTGTTATTAGTAGTATTAATAGTGCAGATGAGGACCGGTGCAGTCGAGGACAGACGTAACCAGAGTCTGAAATTAAATATTTTAATATTTTTTATTGTAGTTGTACTTGTATTTATGTTTATTTTATTTGTTATGATACTCACAATAATTTGAGGACTTTATGTTACATTTGTTGAACTGATTTGCAATGTTTTTTGAGTTCTATTTTATTTATTTCTTCACTCATACAGTTATGTTGTGAATAAGCTGCCCCAAACAGTTTTATCAGATAGGGGCACGAATGTCATTTAACCACCAATAAGCTATCTTGAATAAGCTGCCCCAAACAACAAGATAGATTATTCTAACAATCTGCAGATTATCAGATTATCAGAATAATCTGCTTAAATAACCAACAACTGCGCCAAGCAGACCCTAAATCTGTCACCCAAATCTTTAATATCAAGAGTTAGGGTTGTTTGGGGCAGCTGCAGTTTATCCAGCTTCTGCTGATAAGCAGCTGATCCTGATAATCTGCTGATGATCAGCTGATCCGGATAACCTGTCTGGTTGTTTGGTTAGTGCGTCTATCTGGAAAACAGCTGATTCTGTAAAATTGACCATTCTGCCCCTGTTTTGAATAAGTTGTTTAACTGTTTGGTTAGTGCGTTTTGTAAACAACTTATTTGTAAAATTTTTTAGTTAAATGAAAAAGTTGGCACGTAAAAGTAGTAATGTCCACCCCTCAGCTAATTTAGAATGATGAACAAGAACGAAGAAGACAACAAAAATGCGCAAAAATTTTAGGCAATAGAAGCACTTTTTGCATTATCTGAACAACTTTTATCTCCAAATATACGCAATATCCACATAAATGCATGCTGGGACAAATAAAATATCATGGTACTATCAAGTATGATTACAAGTAATCCAGTTTGTCACACTTCTTGAGAAGCATTTACATATATACCATCCAATTCCTATGTAGATATCTAACACCTATCCTATGACTTTTACATTTCTAACACCCAAATCTTTCGTATCACATCTAAAATGCCACCATTTTGACTTCTAAAGGGTAAAATACACATTGCGATGCATACAAGGGGCTTCGTGAAACAACAAATGGTTCGGATGTCCTTCTTTTTCCACTGGAATTTTTGTATCTCATCCTTTTCTCATCTCCTTCCTGCTCTCCTCAAACAGAAAAAAGTTGTACGACAAGGAAAAACCCTCCACTGCCCATTCACTGCACGGCTCCAAACCAAAGAGAAGCGAGTAGAACAATAGTGGGTTTCTTCCCTTCATGCGATTTTGAAGTTGGAAGTAGCTGGGCTTTGAAATTGACGAGGCCTTTACCTGGAAGAGAAGGAAAGAACGTGGTCTTTAACTAGGGTAGAGCTTGCCGTGTGGAGTGAACTGAAGATGGATCACTTGGCTTGCCCTAGGTAGCAGGCACCATGAGCGGATCTCGAAGGCTTGATGGCTCTTCTTCTTCTGGCGCTATTCTGTGTATCTCGAAGGCTTGATGGCTCTCACAGTCCCACTTGCTTCACAAATGAGTGTTTGGATGGAAGGAACGACAGTGAAGTGGGGTTGCGAGGCTGGAGATGCGAACGAGATCCTCCGCTGCGAGCAGGGCACATGCGTAATAATGCGAACGAAAACACGGACCGCGGGGTGACCCCCGCGGGCCGCGTGCTTCAGAATAATCTGACGAAACGCTCTATCCAAATAGTACTGCGGCGCGGGGTGACCCCCGCGGGCCGCGTGCTTCAGAAATACAAAACTCAGTTTTTAGATAATCTGACGAAACGCTCTATCCAAACAGTACTGCGGCGTTCTCAAAATGCCGCCCGCACTTATAAGCTGCCCCAAACGGGCCCTTAGTCATATACCACTCATGCAAAGGGATTTGGAAGGTGGTACCTATGTAAAAATTGCGATTAGGCGTTGGATATGCAAATTAAAAAGAATTGAGTGGTTTGTATGTAAAACTACCGTAAAAATAATTAAGAAAATAAAAAAAATAAAGAAAAAAAAGGAGGAAAAGAACTGAATAAAATGGTGGAAGCGCTATCTACGTTTCCTCCCGTTTCTTTTTCGGTGTTCCCGGTGAGACGAACGACAAGGGAAGCGCAAGGAGTCGGGAGGAAGACGAAGACGAATCCTTTGCACTTATTTTAGTTATTAGTGTCTCCTCTCTTGGTGCTCACATCGCTTGGCTCGCTCTGGTTTACGCTTTCCCTCTACCGCGGATCGAGAAATCCAGCAATTGTTGTCATTTGCTGCGAACTCCCTGCCCTCCTTGTGTCTTACTATCTCTGCCTTTCATGAGGGGAGGAAATTTGGTGCTGGCGTTAGAGGTGTATGGCTTTTGAGGACTCGGGAGGTGGGTTTTTCAGCGCAAATGGGCACAAATGTGAATCTGTCGGGTAAAGAAGATGGGAACCATGGAGGCTCTTCGTCGCAGCAGGGAGGAGGTGGGGGAGCTGGGGGTGACACGGCCTCCAGTGGAGTAAGGACTAGCAACGGCGCTGCAGCGACGGCGACGGCGGCGGCGGCGTCATCGCAAGCGCTGAAACACGACCCAGGGCTGACGGTGTATTGGACAGCGGAGGAGCAGGGGACATTGGAAGACATGTTGAGCAAGTGCGTTTCTTATTTATTGGTTCTTGAAAGGAAATTTACTTTTTGTTTCTTGCCCCCAATTCTTATAATCCCGAGTTTTGAGTTTTGAGTTTTGAAAGTGGGTCTCATGGTTTATTTTATTTTTCTAGTCGAGGTTTTGTTTCCATGTGGCAGGATTGTTACTGAATTGTTTTTCGAATTTTATGTTTCTTTGCTTTATTTACTTTTAAAAACTGTTCTTTTACGCTCTTTGTGTTAAGAATTTTGGATGGGAAATCTGGGTCTTACTCTCTGCTATTCTTATGCTAATGGGTTTCTTGGTGCAAAGTCTGCTTCGAATTGCTGCTTAAATCAATCTCTGAAACATTGAGATTTGTTACACAGGCTATGGTTTTAAATTTGTGATTTTAATTTGGTTTCATTTTTCAAAGTTCTGCATTGTTAGAATTATCTACAACACATTTCTTTTCGCACCTTAGGTTTTGGGGAAGGCATACCCTGACAATTACTTCTAGTATCTAAATAAAGTTCAAAATTCACGATTGATTAAACCTGATTGTACTCAAAAGTTTTGTATACAAGTGATAATTACTAATAAGTAGTACATGCAATTGTAAAGGAAGAAAAATAAATAATAATTGATTACATAAATAAAGTCCATATTCCATAATAAGAGTTCAACAAAGAACTAATAACAATAATGAGAGAAAGAACTACTGACTATGACATGCAAAATTGCAAATACTACTCATACCCAATCAAAAATACAAGTAGAATTTCATAATCTCAAAAATATATAATGGGATTCTATTGTTGGAAGTCTGATCATGTATTGAGAGTTCATCAAACAACTTGATAGAACCTGTTATGAGAAAAAAAAATTACAATGAATGAATTGGACAGTTTAAACTTAATAAAAAATAAATCTTATTTGTTAAAGGAAGTTTTCATACTTACCACACAATTCATTTGTATTTATATATCTAACTCCTAACCTTACATAATTGTATTTATAACACTTTGTTGCTATAAACTTACGCTTGAAAATGTATATTTCACTTTTAAAAAATAAGTAGTAGTTGTATTTTTGACGTGATATTATATATTTTAAGTAATATGGATGTATTTTTGTAAGTTTTTGTGTTAGATACGTAGATTCATAAGAATTGTGTGGCATGTATGTGAATGCTCTTTTTTAAAGTTTAAATAATGAGGCATTGATGTGAATAATAAAAGAGGTAAGATTAACTTTATAACAACAATATTAATAACTCATCAGGTTAGCATAATATTAAGTGATATAATTATTTTTTGTGAAATAATAAACAATGCAATTCTATGCTAACAGTTCCATGTGCATTCACATCAATATACTCATATATATAGTCATTTTTACTAAATACATTGTCGACTCATCTATCATTTTTTATATTTTTTTAAGCTATATATATACTCGCTTTTACTATGCTACCTTGAAATCAAGAAAATAGGCTATGGACCTATCGACCTAGTTAGCTAATATTAAAAAAAGGGCTTTACCAAACTAAAAGCCATTGCAAATAGACATATGCATTTTAGACATTATAACCAATCGTTTAGTAAGTGTTTATGGTTACCATGGTCAGTTCTATCGTCATAATAAAGTATGATTTGCAAGAATCACATTTATTATATTCAATAGAGACAACCTACAACAAATATTAAAAAATAAGACAGTGGTTGGATAATGCATTTTTGGGACAAAATTTTTGCGGTAGTATCAAAATTTTGGTTAATTATCTACAATTGTTTTTTCTCAAATGATTTTGCTTAGAAAATCATCTAAATCAAGTAGGCATTTTAATATTTTCTCCAAACCTTTGGTTGCAAAAACATAGTTGTTTGCTTTTTTTGATAGTTTGGTACTATTATTATTTTTGTGACATGTGCACTTGAAACAAAATTTTGTAATTGTGTTAAAAAGATGCATTTGCCACTATTATTTTAGTATACGAATGTTTTTTTCTCTGTTACGATATTTGGAAATTTTGGTTTTATTCTATATTCAGTTGTTGAAAAATATTAGTATAGAAATACCAAGAGTTTGCTATTATCAATAGGAATATGCTTTTGGGTTGAAATGCAAGTTTAAGCACTGCTATTTCTTGTTGTTCTTCAATCATTCTTTGGTTGACACACTCCTTAAAAATCAATGCTAAACACATATGGTTTGATTGTGAAAAAGTGGTTCCTACGGTTTGTTGCTTCTATGTATTATGCTCTCCTTATATCATGGTAGAGCAAAGTTTAAGAACAGGTGACTCCATTGTTTGTTACTATATTACTGAATGAATTCTTGGTGTATGATATTTGATGGCATTGAAATTTTTTTATTTAAGGGTAAGTGAGGGGAAGGATGGCCGATGTAAATATTTTTCATGTGAGGGGACATTATTAGGGCGTATGAGTAATAGGTTTAGTTTTATATTGAATAGTTAAGCCAATATGTTGGTATATAAATACCAAGTGGCTGGCCCATTAGTCATAGACTTAAGGTTTGTTTGAAAATGTGTTCAACTGCTATTGAATTTGGCCTAACGTTAGTCCCACTTTAGTTCACACTCTCCTTAACTCTCCAATTTTCAATTGCTTCATTTTTTTTCTAGAAATAGAGGGTGTAAAGAGGCATCCTATTACATTTAACTTTTTAAGTTGATGAGATGCTTTCTTGATTAGGCTAACCACTTAAAAATATTGTTTATGCTTACAATAAATGCTAAAATGAATTTGAAATGGTTTTGAGAATTTTTTTTGGAGGTTTTTTATTGATCTATCAATCATTAAATGGTACATTGAGTGCTACTTCATGCTCTAGATAATTTCAGTCTTCTATTTGATTGTCCAATGGTCTTCATGCCATCACTTTGATGGTATTAATATTGATGACCTAGTTTCGATACATTAACACATTTGATAATGATGTGTTAGAGGAGGGTTAAATGTCTTCTTTTGCAGTGAGTTCATTTGCATTTCTTCTTTGCCTAAGGTAGATAACATATGATTCATCCTTCCTCCTTTAATAGGGTGAGGCAATATCAATAGGAATTTTTAGATTGCATTCATGAGTTTACATGCTTATCTTGTTGTTACTATATGTATCATTATCATGCCATTAATAAGGTTATCAATGCATTATTGCATACCTATAATGAAGATATGAGCTACTGAAGAGGACTTGGTAGTTGTCTATTGAAACCACCTCACATATCTTCTCATTTATGCAATCATTGTTGCTTGCAAATTTTAAGCGATATTGGCAACCAATCTTCTTCTTTTTCCCCCTTTTGAATCTGACATATATACAACTTCTCTTTCTATAGAAATGAGGCTATTTTGGTTGATGATATCGAGGTTGGTGCTGATCACATCTTGTTTAATTTATATTTTTATGGTGAATATCTCCTCTTGCAAGTCCATACTAGAGGATGGCCCCCGCTACGATCACCTTTAGCATTACCTTAAAAATGGAGACAAGTCTGTCTTATGCACTGAACCTAGTGTGGTGTTGTACATCACCCAACAATTGCTTTTTCATATCTTTTTTATTCCTATTTTTTAGACAAGAGTTTAGGGTATAGTTTCGAGTATTATTCTTTGATATGGCCATGCATCTAATAATATTCTTGATGCATCTTCAACAAATTTTTATCATCTAACATAAATCTCGATATTTTTTTGAGTAATAAATATTCATAATTCACATTCAAGATCTTCTAGGGCCCAAATTTCGGCAAGTTTTTGATCAAATTAGCTGTCTCGACAAGATGAACCCAATGATATCAAAATTGGTTCAATTCGAGTCCAATTAAGTCCAGCTCATGCTATTAAAATGTATTTGAAGGCTTCAGATTATTAATTGAAGGGTCAAATAAACTTCGAATTCGACTTCTAATAAAACGAAAGCCTCGACGAGAAGAATCCAACGAGCTTAAACTTGCTTAATTCTGAGGCCATTAAGGCCCTCAAATAATTGAGATACTCTTTTATGATCAAGGGGGGTCAGTATTGGTCATTCAATTATGTGGTTAAGGAAGTTATTCATAGAATGATCAAAATGTTCTTTCTTTAGAGGCTATAAATTGATTGACTCTCTTCACTTGAAGGTGGGAGGAGTCAAATTTCTATGTTGTTTTTGACTGATATCGGACGATAATTTCCGGCCTCTGTAGCCGTTGATCAAAGTAGATTACTGCCCGTAGGCTGCCCCTTGCATATTGTCATTGGTGAACTCTATTTGCTTATGAATTATCCCGAATATGGTGCATCGAAACATCCTGAATATGGGGTTGTGAAGTATCTCGAGCATGGGATAGTGAAGTATTTCGAGCACCGGGTTAAGGACATATCCCAAATAGTATGCATGGATGTATCTAAACACAGTGTATTGAAGATCCGTCGATAACAGCTTGACGACATCTGTGGGAAACCAAGTCCCTTTGAGTTCATGTCTGAAGTCCAGTATGCCAAGCCTCGACTTCGTTTTATAATGATACACATCACCCTGATGGGCAAGTAACCTTCTTTGCACCCTTTGATGAACTTGTACGAAGAATGGATGAGTCTTAAAATGAGATCCTCTAACTTTTACGCAAGGCGCGATAACCGATGGTAGTACATATTAGAGGGTCACAATTACCTCAAAATTCACATATTAGAGGTACACAATTAGTTCCCCCTCCACAAACCGAAGTTCCTTTTCAGTAAACTGAACTTCAGGACAGTTCTAGCTCTACACGTCCATCCAATATATTTAAGCCCAGCATCAAACTTCTACTACAGATGGAGAATCTGGCTCGACCTCATGGCATCTGTGACAAGTTATGACATTTAGTATAAGAAGAGTTTCCTTTAATGCATATAAGTCATTTCTCTGTTCAACATAAATTTCAAAAGTTTTCTCCATCGACTGAGATCATCTTTCAACGCCATGTTTCAAAAGGGTTCAATGGGGTTCAAGCTTCTAAACATTGATTATTATGGGA